AAGGAGCTTAATACAAAAAGTATCAGATTCATGTCTGAATGTGTACACCAATATTCAGGTGTAAGTACATTCAAATGATAAGTTTCAAACAAGATAAAACGTATATCCTGAATGTGCTATCATCCATTATACAGTTTTGATAATCATTGTTGTTTGAAAAAATAACATACTAAAATTTAAATAAAGTGAATGGAATCTTTTATGAAACAAGAGATCTAATAACATTTTCTATAGTACTCAATTCATCAGGAATGAACAATAGTTCTTTTTTAAAAGCTTATTTAACTTTATTGTTTGAATGTAAAAAATTTCCATAAACTATGCTGTATTTGTTTGAGGATATATTCGGAATAAATGACAATGATGATTGATAGATCAAAGAATATACATCAGTTTCATGAAAGATAAAGATAAACCTATCTGTCACAGAAGAATAAATTCATTTATTCATAAATAGGACCTAATATGTTAGGGGTCAGATTGTTATTCATGAACGATATTGACTAGAAATTACCCAAAATCTCGAACTGAATAAAATTATTGGATAGAAACTATACCAATCAATTCTAATCCATTAGTTTAAACATGTATTCATTCAGAGACCCATATGTTACAACTTCGATCTATTTTTGGTAACAGCGGATGTTCACTTCGGATCCGTTGGCCAAACACTATCAGCAACAACTTACTATGAGAGAGAACAAACCAGATCCCAGTAGAGGAAGGATTCAGGAAGAAGCGCTGGAAATGGATAGAACATACATTGAGGAAAGCACCCAACTGTGTCACAATGCAAGCCCTTACATGGAATACTCAAGGCTAAAGGAAAATTGGAAGACCAAAGAACACATTACATCGAGAAATGGAGACAGACATGAGAAAAATGAACAAAAATTGAATAGAACTAGAAAGGAAGGCTCAGGACAGAGTGGGTTAAAGAATGTTGGTCAACGGCCTATGCTCCATTGGGAGTAATAGGCGTAAGTAAATAAGTAAGAATGTTCACTCCTTACAAGTCCCAAGCTAACAGACTTACATTGTATTGTTATTATAGATACCATATATACCATCATATCGTAATGATAATCATCTTGTAACTGTAAACATTTTCCAACAATTCATTTTAGATTAAAAAAATATCTCAAATATATGTATATGACACTACTTATTGTAAAGTTTGTCTAACAAATTATTTCAATAAATAAAAGCAAAATCAAGTAACTGACATCATTTGATTTCATAATTTGTGTTTACTTAAAACTGTAGTGTAATCAAAACTTATCAATGAACATAATTTTTTTCTCTTTTTAAAGAATCCTGTTTTTTCTTAATTTTTATTATGTAATTAAAATTATGAAAATTTACTTTATAAAGCCGAATAATCATTTTTCATTTTACTTAACCATGTGATGCGTATGTAAAATCTGGCTAATTTAATAAATGGATATCATTTTTATTTTATTATATTCTTTTGGAAATAAAATCAATTTGTTACTAAGTGGAAACAAATAAATCAGGATTTGACAACTTTCTTATTTCTAATACACTTTATATATACTAACACTAAATGTAATTTATATCACTCCCACTCTCACTCACTTTCACTCTCTTTTTCCCTGCCTCTCACTCTCTCAATCACTATATATTTATATTAAATTCTACAATCCAGTCAGCTATCCAAAATTTTGTAGTTTTAATATGTCTTTAAACTCTAAAGATTTTTTATATAAATTGATTTATTCTGTGTAAGTGTATTGAAATAATTTTGTTGAGATCATACATATATTCATGAACTTAAATTAGCCGAAGTATATTAAATGAGAAAGGACTAGTGGATAGTGGTTTCTCTTTACTTTTAGATTTATCACTAATTTACTTTTAGATTTACAATATAAAGGCTGTTAGATGTATTATAATTCTTATCTGCCTACTATCTTACATTAATTTCGTAACTGAAACTACTTTTAAGTGGTACATTCATTAGTCGGTCAGATAATGACATATATTTGTGCTTTATTTTAATAATATACACAAACGTAACTTAGAAAAATATATTTTACTCTTTTTTATGAACTAGATTACATTGAATGCACAAAGCTACCTCTCTTTTGAACTAATCTCCACACATTACTCTTCATGGCAACTCGAACTGATGTACGTACGTACGAAGTTCCACGTTGTTACTGACTAACCTGGCTTTCAAAAGAAAAGTGCAAAATAATCAATGACTCAATATTGAATCATTTCATTAATTCTGATGACACTGTCCAACCAGAAATGTCTCTTAATATTATTTACACAGTCAAATGATTATTTATTACAGATGCTTTAGCGATTCAGTATCTGTGTTATCTCTTATCTTGATATGCATCTAATACTCCTGGTTTTTTACGCTCTGTAATTAGTTATTAATAGCTTCTTATAAATTTTTTAACTCAGAAAGCTTTTTTTTACTATTACATCGTGTTTTATTCCGTCTTCACATTGATCAGGTCAGAAGTAATCTCTCATACTTCTTCTTTGAAGAAGTGACTTCAAACGAATTTTAAAAAAACGTTAGAAATTCAGATTTTTGCTCACTGATACATTACAAAATCATCATTATTTTCATTATATGTAATTTACCAATGCTTAGTTTATTTGTTATTACATAAATCAAACCTTCTAATGTTTATACCATTATCCAACCTGTATGTGAAATTTCCAAATATTTTGTGATGTAATCAATTTCTATTTTTTTTAAATAGACTTTTATATCTGTTAAATCATTATAAATACAATTTTATAAGTTCAATGAATGATACCATGGAAAAGAAAATTTCCTTTGGGTTATCTCTGTACTATTTGAATCTTTAATGATTTACTTTTAACATTTTGTGAAACTTAATTGATTGAAATGATTAATTAAAAACCTTATGAATTTCATTAAGGATAAATAAGATTTATCGAACTGAAAACTTTCTAAGCCACTTTTTTTTAAATAAACAGTTACTAGTTTTTCTTAAGTTCATTCTTATCTACTTATTATTACCTACAAAGTAATATGTAAAATATCTACATGTAGCAGCGATTGATTTGTCATCCAATAATATACAATCACAATTTTATATTTATAGACCACTGTTAACTGAAAATTACTTCCCCATTGATTTGATGAACTCTATAGGCTACAGTTTCCCACTGGAATATTAAGAGATATAATACTTTTGTTAAAGCACTTCAATAATTCCTAATATTTTTCCAATTAATATCAGTTATTAACAAAACATTTGTTAAAACTATACAAAACCTACACTCAAAGTAAACCTATTAGTTGTTCTTTTCAATCACATGATTAGTGAAAGGTTATCAATGTACAATAGAAATAACATAAGTACTTTATATTTCTTTACAGTATGATTTTCGCTACTGACTATTTTCCTTCATAAGTAGTTGAAATTAATTTGATTTATAATTTTCGGTACAAATATATTTTAACTTTTGACTTGGAATATAAACAAATTCTTTTAAAATCTAAAATCTCCATATTAAAAATGAAATAGCTATGATCAATCTTTCGGCTCTAAATTGGTCGTAATTACTTGGTCTTTCTCCTTGAATTGTGTTAATCTACCACAGAGAAGCTAGTCAGTTAAAAAAAACATTGATTTTTAATCTGGAATCCTTTAATAGATCTGATCACTATATGGTGCCTTGTGAAACCTATGAAACTGCTAAACATATTTGCAAAAAAAGAAATCATCTCCTCCAACAACTGAAAGGATTTCATCATAAAAACGAAAAATTATAACCCATATAAACAAATTCTAGGCTGAAACAAGAAATTTCATTATTATACAGATAAATCCATCAATCAAACAACTAAGAATCTATTGAGCACTCACTGGAATCCTCTAGAAATTCAAATTCAATGATTAGATACATTGATGCTATTAGATAGACATGAATTTAAAGCATATGAATTATCTAAAATTAAATGTTTACAAAGTAATTGAATCTTGTATTTTACTCATATTTAACCATAAAACAACCTTCCAATGTTACATATACAACTACCATACTAATAACAGGTCTCTTCAAAGATTGTTTTTTTAAATATATGTATATATTGTATCACTACCTGCATAAAATAGAAAGAAAATGAATTTCGGTGATGGGTGCAAAATTAAATTATACACTGAATAGTGTTATATTCTGTCATAGAAAATGAATAACATGTAATTGAGAAACAAACTTTCTATTAAACGATTCATAAATAGAAAACAAAATAATAATCATTATCATATTAATGTGTTCAATAGAAAAAAATAGTGTACACATTCTATTGGTTAAGAGTATCTAAGATATAGATATACAATGAATCATTACAGTCAGTAACATACTAACAGAATACACTATATTTCTCACAAATTATAGTGCTTTCTGTACACTTATATGAAACACAAACTAAGCATATGTGTATAATGAATTAGTTTTGTCAGTTAGATATCTCAAACTTGTACATATATTAATCACTATGTATAGTAGCATATCGATTTGTTTCTAACTTACATTTACTCATCCAATTCTAAAACATCTAGATTGTTTATTCAATAATGTTACATAGAACACAAACACATATTTATGTAAATTACTATATGTTATCAATAGAAAGTAAGCATATATTCAAGTTGAAAATTTACATACAAGCCAAATATTTAAACTAAAATATGCACCAACTATAACTCACCCGATAGAAACATAATGTGATCAATTTATCTAAAAAGAATAATCAACAAAATGTTGGTCAATTAAATTATACACAATGAAATACACACTTACAGGCAATCACTATACCATTTTGACAATACACATATATACATATATAAATAGAGTTTAAACATTGAAATGAAAATCATTCAGATTGAATTTATTTAATAAAAGATTTACTTGACAAAAAAAAAATTTTGTTTTAATTCACTTCTAATATATTTTTATTAAAATAAAATTAAATATAAGATATGGATAGTCCTATGGAAAAATTTATTCAAATTTATTTAACTTTAATTCGTGATGGTGATGAAAGTGTTGAAACAAGTAAATTAAGTGAAAGTTGTAGAAGAGAAAAACTTGATATGAAACAAGTGAATGTAAGTAGTATTGTTTAATCATGTGTTTATTAAAGTTTTTACTGATAACAAAATGTTTTGTTATATACATGTATATACATAATTAATCATGTTATAAGTAATATTATTTACCTGGACATGCCATTTTTTTCACAAACAAACGTTAAGCACAAAATATTTTGAACATTTCGATAGATCTTTTTGAAAGTACATTTAGATTAAACTATCAGATATTGTGCTACATTTGATTAAGCTAATAACCATTGGAAAGTTTTAAAAAATTATCTTTTAGAAGAAACTCGTTAAGACATTGTCTGATCGGATTCTATCACAATAAACCGTTTTTTTCTTCTTCTTAAAACAGTTGTTCATTTTTGTTCTTTTCACAAAACAAACGAGTTTTTTTTTTCATTTAAATTTAGGAGTGGATTGCACTTTTCGATGTAGACAAAGATCAGAAAATCACATTTGAAGAATTTTGTCGAGGATTAGGATTGAAACAGAATGAAATGTAAGTGTAAATGAATTGCTTTCATTAATAATAAACTTATTTTACTTTTTAAAATTATTTATAACTGTTTAATTACAGTGTCAAATATGACTTTCCTCCTTTCATTATTGTATTGTTAGTTTGAATTTGACAGTAAGGAAACATTATCAAGTTAGCTAATGATGATACTTCAAACACTTGTCACTCGATCAATGTTAGCATTCAAAACATAATATATTTGTTACATGATTTCATTAATAGCATAAAACAGTGTTCATTGACGCATTTCCAAAGATCATAACATAAAACTAAAAAGTATTTTTTTCCTACTTCACTAACCCGAAAGTAAACAAAGTAATTTAAAATTATAGTGGAATATTTGACTGTTATGTTTAATAGAATAATAAAAATACAAGAGATTCTCAAAACAATAATAAGTAATATATTTGATATCATAAAAATTAGATATACTTGACTATGGTATTTAAATAGTAAAACACTCATAACACTATTTAAAATATTTATTGTTAACATAGACGGGACATAAATGCCAAATAGAACTCGAACTTTACATTACACTTGAACTTTTAAGGTTAGAAAGTTTTAGTGAACAACAATGGATAGTACATTTGAACTCGACTCAACCTACTAGTTCTGTTAGCTATACAAGATTAATTATTCTCAAACTAGCAAATGTAATTAAAGATTGAGTGTAATAAATTTTACTTATGTGATATATTAGCACAATACATTTCGAACAATCTGATCACACATATACTTGTACCTAAATGGTTGCAAAAACAAATAGAACCAGATGACTTAATAAGAGTAGAGGATAAACGTCTATCATTTTCTATTGTCAAACACATAATTGAAACCGGTTATAAGATTTATCATAGCTTGGCTATTGTAATGTTGAACAAAAGTGTAAAAGAATGTATACTAAGGTTTATTGAAGACTAAGCCATGCGAAAATTAAAATCCCCTTTAGGTATTCAAAAAGGGTTTGTTCTAACCTTAAACTTAGCTTATTATCCAGAGTGATGAAGTTTCAAATTGTTTTCAGATTATTTTCTTTATTATCCTTGTCTCTTCTTACCCTCCATTTCTAGTCTAGTTGACCTCTCATTTTTATCTATCGAAGTTCTTAACAAGTATTTGTGTGTGATCAGATTGTTCATTATGTATTGCTATGATATATCACATAGTTCTGATAATCTTCGTCTTCTTATTACACCATCGAAATTGATCGAAAGGACTAATTGCTTTAAATTTCATTTCATTATAAAGTTGTCTTCTTTTCTACAAAGACTATTAGTAGTTGTAATATTGAGTGAAAAAATGGCTGTATTTTGTTTCTTAGTGAAATAACAATCAGCTTAGAAAATAAAAGTTTAAAAAAAATAAAAAGAACTTACTCATCTTTACACGTATATTTACAAGAATATAAAGACGAAGTCAAATGTTGTTTGGTATATCATGTACTTACTTAATTACTTACGCCTGTTACTCCTAATGGAGCATAGGCCGCCGATCAGCATTCTCCAATCCACTATGGAGAATGCTGGTCGGCGGTATATATCTTGTAACTATATATAATAGATATGTAAGATTTAATAATATTTATAACTTTAATCTTCATGAATTAGTATTTTGATACAACGATATTAAAAGTCTTCGTATATGTCACTGTAACAAAATTTATTTATATCATGTATAATGCGACCACTAAACTTATACAGAACAAGTGTTTATTGATTTGTAGTATTATAAATACATGATATTATCTATGCATCTTTGAGTATAAATGGGTGTTATTTAAAGATCTGTGTTATTCAGTTACTACTAAACAGATATACTGTTTAGTTGGAGAATCTCTTATAGGCAGATTTCTATTCATCATGATAAGCTATAATTTTTACAGAACCTGACTTAAGTAATTACATCCATTTGTATTCATTACAAAGCATTTGTCGACATTTTATTAAAACGTTAAAAGGATAATGTAAGTAGTCATATCAAAATATTAAGATGGTGTTTGTTGGTGCTTATTTATATTATTCTACTGATATTTATTTAAAATGAGGAAGATAAAACTGATAGAAACGAAAACGTTTAATTAAAACTACTTCTGTTATTTTTATTTCAGGCGCATTGAACGAAATCATATTAAAAGTGTACAATCAGGTAAAGAACCAGACTTGCCAGAAGGAGTAAAAATTATTGCTTCAACAATGCCAAAACCAAAACAAGTTGAAGTAACACAATTATATAAAGAAATATTTGATGGAGTTAAAAGAGATCCTGATATGAATAAAGTTGTAAAAACATTCAAAAGTGAATTAGAAAGACGTTATGGACGTGTATGGCAAGTGAATGCTGTGACTCATTCATACTGGGCAAGTTTCTCACATGAACCATTCCAATCAATTCAATTCCAATATGAAAATAAGATCGTTCTTGCTTGGCGTACACCAAGCAACTAAAAAAAGAATAGAAGGTTGAAGTATGACCCAGTAACCAGGGAATGACATTTTGTTTAGAAACAAAACCGATATTAAACAATTCAAAAGTTATTAATTCTATTGATATCATGAATAAAATATTTGTCTTTCCCTTTTCTATCTTTCAAAAAGTTTAATGTTCTTCCAAATATCTGAACAAACTACTCTGTAGTAATAATTGTTATGAAAATATTTTAAGAAGCATAAATTTAGTAAAAAAGAAATTACTCTTTACACTTATTGTGTAACTTTTAATCATATATTGGGCTTCTTATTTGTTGGATTAGATTTACTTCATTCATTGGTGATACATCAATAAACATCATGGTTAACATTCTGTACAAACAATTCAAATGATTTGTAGATAATGTTCATTGACGACTGTCATTAACTTAGTTACTATTTAGATCTGGGTGGCAATGGACAGTTGTTTAAGTCCTAGTATAAGATTTCACCAACAGTGGACATCTATGGTTGCGCTAAAGTTTATTCACAGATCTACTAGGTCATGAATTGGTAGCATTGTCATTGAGACTACTAACCTAAGGTTCATTAAAGTAAATTTCTATATTTCACTCCATTTAAGTGACTATGGGATTTTAAATTATCTCATTTAACTTGTAAGCTTGAATAAATATGAAAATCATTTCTTTGAGGATTTTAAAATGATCTTGAAAAAGTTGGTACCGTTTATGATATTTATCTGAACACAAACATATTTCAATGTCATAATAATATTGATGTTAGACCAAAAAAGAAACAGTTGGTTAAAAATACTGAGTATAAAGTAGTTATGGATACTGTGAAAAACATGTCTGATGCAAACTTTAATTTTCTTATCAAATATAAGTGGTTTGGAAGATTGTTCACATTGTAGTAAGTTTCTGTTTAGAAAAAATCTATGGAAACTGAGAAATGACACAAAACAAACTATTAATATTAATCTGCAATTTATAAACAGTACGTAAAGATGACAGACATCACATATAGTTTAATCATAAACTTTTGAGTCTAGCAGTAAGTGTAATAACCCTATATATATATATATATATATATATATATATATATATATATATATATATATATATATATATATATATATCAGCTTAGCCAATAACTATTACAAGACACTAATAATCATCTACAACCTAAACTTGAAAAAAACACGAAAAAAGAGCACACTAAGTGAAAACAGGAAGTGCTGTTATAAGTTTATTACCATATAAACATTGATTGTTTTGTAATGTACTGATTAATATAATCTTATTTAAACTAATACATCTCTAAATAGATACTTAAAATAACTAAATACGGTATAGTTTGTGATGAATTAGTCATGATGTAGGAAAGCTCTTAAATAATAAAAACACAATGTCAACACGAAATTGACTTTATTAAGAACTTTCAATAATAACAGTGGTTAAACATTCAAAGTCTCTAGAGATTCATTAGTAAAGTGAAATATAATTCATGTTAACAATTTCAAGACAGTATAAAAAGAAGGAATTATGAATGTATAGTATAAATGATGAAAGAGAATTTATACCAAGGATATGATATTATCATTGAAATCAAATGTCCAAGATGTTCATCTTTTATTATTCATGTTTCATGTCAAATATTGTTGAACTTTATCGAATATAATTTCTCATTAAAATTTCCTAGACTTCATCATGAAACTACAAACTATTTAACTCACAACTATTCTCATCTTATTATTCAATGTTCCAAACAAAATCTATTATACATATACTGTTTTCTTTTTGATAGAATACATAGAGAATTCACTGAGTCAAAAGCTTTTTAATATCTCTTCAGACATGTGATAATTGAAATTATCTAACTAATAAGATTTTAATAGTTTTCTATTGAAGAAAGTATTTTAAACCTCTTTAACTTTTGATGTTCTAATCACTTAGACCATCGACAAATCATATGACTAAGCTAAAATATTTCCCTAGATTTAGCTTATATAATACATAGTTTAATTCATTTTGAAACTGAAAGAGTCAATGAAAAATGTGAAACGTACTGTTTATATTGAAATATTCATTCTATGGAAAACTAGGTTCATTTTATTCAATAATTAACATCAAAGCATATAATACAAATACTAATGTATGTTATAAGCTTGATTTCGATATACGCTAAAATATACCAGTAATTACATGATATATTGATTACATTAAACATGATGTAATGAACGAGAACACTAATGGGGACAATCGAATGTATTTGAACAAAAAGTTACAGAATCATTTAGTAAGAAAGCGAGAACTATATAGTGTATACTTGATTTGGAAAATATCAGTCAATCGTCTTAGACTTTATTGTTCTTTCATTTCCACATCAATTATTCCTTTTTCTCGTTCTCTTTTCTTTGATCTTCTTAACCTTCTGTTACCACGTGTTTCACTATCGCCTGATGATATATACTACTTATATCTGTCAACATCAGTAGCACACACCACAATGCTAGTAATTTATATTGTGTACATAAACCTCTCCTCTTGATCTAAATAATAATCGGAACTTCATATTTCTTGTCTGGAAATAGAATCACTTTCAGAATAACTTCGAAAATTTTGACTTCCTGAAAGAAATGATGGATCACAGGAATTAAGTGTTATTTTCTTTTGCTTTGATTCCCATCAATGCTTTCATATTAAGTCGAAGTAAAACTGTTTGTGTTGAAATTAAGCTCTTTGGCTAATAATTGCTTATTGAAACAGATTATGTTTCAGAATAATCATCTGTGCAAAGTTTGTTCGTTTGAGAATGTGTTCCACTAGTGAAAAATGTCTAAGTATTATAAATTTTAGTTAGATTTTTGTATTCGAGTGTATGTATTCGTCAATATAAATGATAATCTACCGAAGTCATGATGTAGTTACAGTGAATTCTTATGTAAGCTGAATACGTAAATATTAGGTAGTTAGGCTAGTTAGGAATCACTATCAAAATATATTCGTACATATCGGGGAAGTGATTTTCACCATAGAATTCGATTCAACGTCATTATGTGACGGATTTTACAACATCCAAAAATTTTAAATTCACGACCCCATCGCCTATCACATCTAGAAAGTCCAGATCTGCCGGTGTTCAGCTTCAGTTAATTCTCAACATTACTCAATAATATATGAATCAGTGTTTGTTCAGCTGATCTTATTATATGATCGAGACCAACTTTAAAATTTATAGGTAAATTTTCATCGCTTTGCCAACTTTGTTTAGCGCTGAACACGAAATTGGCTGTATAACTAGTTAATAGATTGCTCAATGTATCTTTCATGGCAAACAAGGGACACCATTCACCACAAGAGTACATAATGTCATAGATAAATATCATTTTCTACATTTTCCTTATACTAATTATTATTGATAATTTTTCTTGCAAGACTTGTGATTGCTACCGTACATTATGGAAATAATCCAGCACTCTAAAATGATATCACCTCTGACTTTGAATTTTGCTTCACCTTACTAAGCCCTCCATAAATCATGTCTTTTGAAATAGTGTACGCTAATTATTTTAACTATCCCCTTTGATTTTACCTCAACTTGATATCTGTAAATTGACTAGGATTCTGTAATTATTTGCAGAATATACCGTTAATACTACTACATAGACTACTATCAGTATATTTATTGAACTAACATATACAGTAGTACAAGTTATATATCCTCAGTAAACACCTTGGTCCCAATCTATTCAAATTTCTATCAATAACACTGAAACGTACTACTACAACTACTACGACCATCATCAAAAATGTAAAAGTATTTATACATAACTGTTTACGTAATATACTAGATGTCCGTTGGCCAGATACCACTAGCAACGGCCAATTGTGGGAGAGAACAAACCATCTAAAAAGGAAAATAGGGAAAGATGTTGAAAGTGAATAGAACACATATTACGGAACTCGTCAAACTGCATCATGAGGCAAATGAAATCCTGAAGAGAAAAGAAGAGGAAAGTCAAAGAACACATTGTGTCAAGAATTGGAAGCAAACATCGAAAGGATGAATAACAACTGGAAATAATTGTGCAGCACAGTGGGTAGCCTATGCTCCTCCACGAGGGACGACAGGTATAGATAAGAAAGTAAGTAACCAAGTTACTAATGGAAAAATATCAATCAAATAACTTATTTTAACTAATAACAATTATCATCATCGTTTACCAAAGAAATACCATGCCAGAAAGCTAACGATTCTTCTTCATCTTGTTAATATCGTACAATTCTAAATGATCAAAAATGAGATCATTTTGTTTGATTAAATTAATCACTAAGTATTTTGTTTGTAATCTATTCACTGTTTGAAGTTTGTTTCTTTTTAACACACTGGAATTTATTTGAAAAACTGTATATTTTAATATAGTCAAGTTTAAGCATGTTAATTAATATACTTCATCTAAAATAACCATAAATATAATACAAAAGGTATTATTCTGACAGTAGAATGATCGATAATAATAGACACTTGAATATTGATCATTTCGAATATTAACATAATATTGAGACATTTGTTATGGAGTAACTATCACATGAAGTACAAATGTAGCATCTATTGTTATGTGGGGAATACCAAGGATATTTAAGTAAATATATAATTTGGTTATTCCAACATTCTAGGCAGCATCAAGATCATATGAGTTGATGATACATAATTGCTTTTGAGAATTAAGCAGTATATTTTATTGAAACTTCATCTCAATAATATTAATATATCAGGCAACAAGTAAGTTCAGTGATCAGTCCTTTACTTCATAAGTTCATGAGTGACTTACCAAACCCATAGTTTACAGTCCGTGATATTTTAAATGAATTGTTTTTCTTTTTCATTCTTCTGGAATAATACTGTATGTAAGTGTATGGCTCTACCACAGTGTAACTTATTTTCACAGACTAGTAATTGCTCGTCAATCTTCCATTCACTGGGATGTGGTTACAGTAATATTGGCAAATAGATAT